TTTTATATATAAGAAAAAATATGTATTTTACTAATTATAATTAGTAAAAAATTTAAGCATTACATTATTTTTGATTGCCACTGTATGTATAATATTAATAAATTAACTTTTTAAATTTTTAATTAATATTATATTATAAAAATATATTTAAGAATATAATAATTTCTTTTTATAATAATTTATAATAATAATCTAGATTAATATAATAAAATTAAGAAGATAAATTGCAAAATATATTTTTAAAGTTTGCTAAATATAATATTTCTTTTCTTTATCATTATAAAAAAGTTTTTGCTTGAATTATTTCTTTAATTATTTATTAATTAATTATTAATGATTATAAAATAATTTATAAGTAAATTTCTTAATTATATTTTGTAATAAGATTAATTAATAAAAATAAATAATATTAAAAAATTATATTAACTAATATAAATATATTTATTTAATAAAATTCTTTTATTAAAATTTTCTTTATTATTCTGAATATTATCTGAATTTTTGCTCTTTAATAAAAGTTTCTTGCTTAGAAAGCAGTTTTAAATTAATGTTAATTAAAAATATTAATATTATTTATAATACTAATACTTGAAATAATTGTATTTAATCAATTTTCAGTTTTTTTTAATAAAAAGTTTATATTAATTTATTTGTTCTGTATCTTTTATAGTAATAATTACAAATTGTATATTTACATATTTGAATTATTATCATGCTAATAATGAAAGTTTATTATTATTTTGCATAATAACAGCTGGATCACACTTTGGATACAGAAGTACTATCAAGGAAAATGTGATATATATATTTTTATTCACCTTTTTTTTAAGCCATCATAATCACTTGAAAATTATCTTCAGAATTATTTTCACTTATTCTGTTTCTTGATAAATTAATATATTGAAATTATATGGTTTAATTTTATTAAAAATTTCAATGCTGGCGCGTTTACACATTTCTTCTAGAGATTTGCGTTCTGAGTAGATTACCCTTTACTTATGTGCTGCGTTTTTATAAGCTAAAAGGCCTAACGTCAGCAATAATCGAGGGCGCAGTCATGTGATTTTATGGAGTAAGCCAATCAAATCGCAAAATCAGTGTATTTTTTTGTTAGAACACGAATCTGTGCTCGGTTCCTGAACCGGAAAAACAAATCCGGCGCAAGAAAATGAAAAATAGACCCTAATGAAAAAATCACATATGATAAGCGCGTTCTTATTGGTCTGTGAAGTATATGTGATCAGGAACCGCAGCACAAATTATAATTACTTCCTTGCGAAATTTTGCTCTAATGTCTTCTTTGTGTGTCGTATAACCCTAACTCCACCCTAGATTGTTTGTACATGAAATCATTCTTGCGCTTTCAATTGGGATTTAATGATGATGATTTATTTTTACAATCGTAATGTTAACCTTAATCTATTCTTCAGATAAACAAAGTTATTTGCACTTTCACTACGACTTAGTTTTGTAATTTACGATCGGGCAAAAACCTAGGATCGTTCTGGATCACGTGATACAACACTTTACGCCATGGTTTGTTTTCAATATATTCTTGTAGGACTTACTAAGATAATTGTATCTCCACTTTAGGATGGATCACATCACGTTGCTTAACGTTAACGTATCGTTCAAGTTACACATGGCACACAAAAAAACGCACGTCGACACAGTTCCCAGAACTACATACAAGATTTGGTGCAACTAAATCAACGCAATTATAAATGAAAATGGTGGTACTTGTATTAAACTATAACGATAATATCTCAAGTTAACATTAACAGTTAATGGGAAAGTTCGATTAGAATCATCATTTAATATATGTGACTTGTACCCTTTGTGTACACCAATCAAACACACTTTTGCAAAAAAACTTAGCTAGTATATTTTTTTTTATTTTATTATTATTTTTATTGTAATTATTATTATTATTATTATTGCTTTAGCTTTCTGTCTTGCTTAGATCTCAAATGCCGAAAGATTTAACAATTAGAATAGTTTTTTAAAATAAAAAATTTTATTTGCCCAATATCATTCTATACAACTACTCCTCCTCAACTATTACTGCCTGTATGTTAAATGGATTTTTCAACAACAACTGAGGTACTGTTCCCGTCGTCGCCAGCGTCACCGACTACTCCTACGACACCACAATCCTCGTCGCAATTTTCATCAATGTTGCAGCCACCTTCACCAAATCCTGTAAAGATGAGCAGTAATACGTTTGTTCACAAGTTATACAAGTAAAGTTTTTTCCTTTTATTGTTAAATTCATTAATTTTTGATTTTTTAGTAGTAGTAATAGTATATGTATAATATATATAATAAAAGAAATATTGTATTTCTCGAGAATAAATAAAAAAAATTGCTAATTTGGATTTATTTATTTAGCATGGTAGTGGATAAGCAATATCAACATCTTATTGCGTGGAATTATACCGGTACATCGTTTATTGTTTGTAATATTATGGAATTTTCTCGCGATGTGCTGCCAAAACATTTCAAACATAATAATTTCTCGAGTTTTGTAAGGCAATTGAATATGCAAGTATTCTTTTTCTATCTTTATCGTGTGTATCATCGTCATATCATCATTGCCACCTAGGTCTCTTCAAAATTCACCATTGTTCAATAATACTTATTACCTAGCACTTTATTTACTTCATTAAATAACGAACAAAATTGTAGGTACGGCTTTCACAAAGTAAATAAATCCCCACGGGGCCACCGCACACTAGCCGAAAATCAAATTTGGGAGTTCTCTCATCCAAAATTTTTACGTGGCCGCCCGGACCTCCTAGATGACATCAAACGCAAAGCGATGGAATCAGAAACACTGCGTCGCGAGACGGGCGATCTTCACGCACATTTGGCGATGATGCAAGTAGCGCAGACAGATTTATTGCAACAGATTGCACAGTTACAAGAAAATTTTGCAGAAGTGATGCGAGAATTACGAGAGACAAAACACAAGCAAACGTTGCAGCAGCAATGGATAAAGAATATGTGGGAGGTGATACAGTCACAAAATTCGTCGTCACAAAGTGAGTTAAGTTCACTTTATTTTAAGTAAATATTAATTTTGGTTTATTTTTTTGGGATTTGAGGGCGTAATACGTAGATATGCATTACATATAGATTTATTGTTAATAAATAAACTGCTCACGTTGATTACCAATCATTTTGCAAGCTCTAAGTTGCCTTTCTATTTGATCAATCCTTATAAAAATAGTAATAGTAGTAAACAACTGTACATGACGCATAAATCGCTAAATTAGTCAAATTCTTCAAGTATATTAGAAATTCTTCAATAATATATTTAATTTTATTTAGTTCCTTTTGATCTCAACAATTTTGAAATAAAACCGGAACAACCAGAACGTCCGCCAATATACATAACCTCACCCGAAAATCACACCAACCTAAATTACTTATTTAATCTTAATCAACGATCCACACCCACACTTCAAATCGATACAAATCTAAACTCATCATCATCATCCTCCTCCTCATCGTCACCTCATCATCATCAACGGCACAACAGCGCCTCAAGCTCACCTCATCATGCGGGAGGCGGCGCGAATGGCGGCCAAAGCCCAACTCACCGTCTGAATATCACGCTTCCACCGAACCCGTACTTGGGTGGAAACAATTCACTGATAAACCAGCAGCCACCGTTGTCACCAAATTCATTAAGTTCTTATAATACTGCGGTAAATACACCTTTGCCCCCAAGTCCATCACCAGGATCACCGCTAGGAAATATAGTTTCAGATGATGATATGGATGGTAGTATTTATAGCCGTGCGGGATCGGAGTATGGTGGTGAAGATTTTTATGAAATGTAAATACATGTGTTTTATCTTTATAATATACATATATACATCAAATCTGCAGCCTCACGAAACCAATCCTTGAATTTCGGTACGAGCCTACGGGATGAATATCAACAAGACGAAGAAAAAAGAGAACCAGGATGGCGGTGATGTTATCGATCGATTAACGCAATAATAAAACCCTCACCAACAACTGTATTTGGACTCGATCCTGGGATCTTTTCTCCTCCTTCATCCTCATGCTACTATTAATATTACTATTATATCTCTCTATATAACTATTTCTACAACTCCACTTCTATGCTTAAATTTTTTGCTCACATATTATTTTATTTTATTTTTCTTTTAGTCATCATCAATTTTAACTACTTTCAGAACATCTCCTACCTAAATCTATTCTACTACCACTGCCAGCATCATCATCACCATTAACATCACCACCACCACCATTACCACCACTATTACTAGCACTTACCACACTTTTTATATTGAAAATTTTTTGAATATACTGTAAAACGATATATCATCGATTTGGTGGATGATATGTAATATACGGATTCCGACATCGTCAGCATATTCGATCAATTATTCAATATTCTATATTAAAACTTTTTATCTTTTACATGCAAGCGTTTTGAACAAAGATAGAAGTATACTTTTTTATCGCAACATATACACAAGCATATTTACAGACACTTTACATCATACACAGAGAGATAGCCAACCACCAACAATTATAATTATCAACAACAATCACAGGCATGCATTAGGAAAAAAATAGGACGATATTGGGCAATAATAATAATAATAATAATAATAATAATAAAATGTTATTGCTGATGCCATGTTGATATCGTTGATAAAACCACGAGAAGTATGTAATAGACTTTGATATAATTTTTTTTGTAGAATATTTTATGAGCAAGCACATACATACATACAACCATACGCATTATATACATAACTGTCGTCATCATCATTTCTATTATTTTATCTACCCATTCGCTCATCCTACCAAAAAATGCATATTCTCTCTCAAGCATAGCTGGGAGTAGGGATAAAGCATAAGGTGAGATATACTATTATTCTAGGTTTATCATTAATATTCTTATAACAAGGACTTTTTTGTATTGTTCTTTTTGTTGTTTATTTGGGTGTTATAGCGTTTTCTTGGGATCAATGGGGACTTTTAATTTACATATATATAAATTCATTTTTTTATTTATTTTTTTTACAAATCTCCTTTTCTACACGTATACTCTTTGCCCAATGTGCAGTCTTACATATTCCTCCCATTCCCCATAATTTATTTTACGCATTATAATATTACTTGTTGATACTACGGATATTATGTTTGATTTTATATATGTACGTATACATAATTGTTTTTCCTCTATTAAAATGAGATTAATTTTCGTAACGGAGAAAATGAATTTGATTTTTGTTAAATGTGTTGTTTGTAAAAATGGGTAACAGTTCAATTAATTGGATTATTAAATTTTTTTGTCTGATATAAATTCCTTTGGTATAAATAGATTGTTTTTGGAAATGATAAATTTTAATTTCCAGTTATTTGCAAAGTTTGTTAAATTTTAAATATTTATTTATTTTATTTAATTATAAAAATGAAAATTGAATATTAATTTTAAAATGATATACTGTAAAATTTCAAAATTATTATACACATTTCAAAATAAAACATAGTAAAATATGAAATTTTCTCTATATATAAAAATTTTTAATTTTTATATTAAAATAAAGATAATAAATGATTTGTATTTTTATATATTGTTTGATCAGATTCTTTGAACAATTTCTGAAAAAGTTACTCTAATTATAAAGTTATATATAAAAATTTTCTATGACTTTATTATTGAAGCAACTTTTAGAAAATGTTTAAAGAATTTAAAAAATAATATATTAAATTATAAATCATTATTTTTATTTTGATATAAAAATAAGAAATATTTATTAATAAAATAAATATAATAATAATTAAAAGAATCAAATTTTATATTAAAATATAATAAAATATAAAACTTTATATAATATAGTTAATCTTTTTAAAGTTATTGTATTTGTAAAAGTAAAATTGAATGATTAAAGAGAGATATAATTATAAATATTTTTTTAATTATAATTAATTAGTAATTAAAAAACTTAGAAAGATAATTATAAAGTGATATGACTAAAAAATCTGATTATAATTTAAAAATATTAAATATTTAAATTAATATTTTAAATTATGGATTGGTATAAAAAGATTTATATCTCAAATAAATATTAATAAATTATTTTTTCAAAATAAAATTTTAATTTTGTCTTATTTAATTAAGTTATTAAATATTGAAATTTATTTAAATATAAAAATTTTTATTATATATCTTTTATAAAAAAATTTTTATTAATAATAACTTTTTTTAATTATTATTTCTTAAATTTTATTATATAAAATTTGATTAAAATTAATATAAAAATTATATTATATTATTACAAAGTAAATAATAGTTATTTTTATATATATAACTTGCAAATTCTGAGATTTTATAGAATTAGTAATATATTATGAAATATTTTAATAAAAAAGATTCTAGTTTTAGATGAGTATGTATTTGTTATATTACTATTTACTCCTTCATCTTGATTTCAAACTTAAAAAGTAAATATCTAATCTATTTTTTAATATAATAATTAAAGTATTTTATTTATTCTATTTTCATATTATCACTTAATTATATATATATATTTTAATAATATTTTTTGAGAAAGTGTCACAAATTTGAATAGATTTTCATAGTTTAATTAAAAATTGATATAAATTTAACTATTAATATATTATAATAATTTAAGAATAAATGATTTATTTTATGATTTTGATTAGCTAATTAATTAGTTATCTCATTGTCTGAATTATTTAAGTATACTTTAACTTTATTAAATATTATATTTAGATTATTTATGCTAATATTATAAGTAAGAATTTTTTAAAGTAACCAATTTGATTATTGATATAATTATCTTGTGAATTATTTGATATGATAGATTATATTATAATTATATTCTTATATTACTAATTAATTATTAGTTAAAATCAAAATATTAAAGTTTGGAGAAAGAATTTCTAATAAAATATAAATTATAAATAGCTCTATTTTAGTGGTTAAGATTAGATTTTTTATAGTAAATTTAAAATTAAAACTAGAAGATTATATTATTCATACTGCTTTAGCTAATATTATTGAGAAATCTGTATTTATTATAAATCTATCTATAAAGAATGTATTAATATTAAATATATTTATTTTTGATTTTAGAATTTGTCATTTTATATAAAGAGCTGAGTTATTATTAAAATATTTTAAGATTTTATAATTTGATACTATATATTATACTTGTATTATTTTATATTATTTATTAATAATAACTAAGCCAGTAGGTGTGTTTGTAGTAATTATTCTTTGTTTTAAAGTTACAAACTAGTTTATAGTTATATATTGTATTTCTATATTTGTATTTATATTATTTTTATAATATGAATTGTGAGCTATTGTATTTGATTAATTATAATAAAAAAAGTATATTATCTTGGACTAATAATTTATGATCAAGTTTATAATTTGGCTAGTTATTTAGTATTTATATTAAAAATTATTTAAAGATATTAATTTGTGATATTAAATTATTATTATTTATAGACTAGAAGGAGATATTATAGTAATATATTAGTAAAATAATGCTTATAATTAAGTTTTTTTCTAATAGAACTTGATTCAGATATAAATAAGACTAATATTAAGATTTTTAATCATCATTAGATTATAATTATGAGTAATTATACTAACTAAAGTATTATTATTGAGTTAAAAAAATAATTCTAAAATTTTATATTATGCTAAGATATCAAAGATATTATTTTGTGCAAGCTATGCTAAATAAAATAAAATTGAGTCTAAATTATTTGAAGATAGTGATATTTTTTGCTTAATAATTTTTTTAATTTTTCTTATTATTATATTATAGAAGATATTTGATGAGACAAAAAGTTGAGTTTTATACTCTATCATAAGAAATAAAACTTTATTGAAAATATATATTATTTATTTATTTATAATAAATTTTTTTCTAAGTATAAATATTATTGAGTTGACTTCTATTTTAATTTATTATTATTAAGCTTTGAATTTTCTATTTATACTAATTAAAATTCTTAGATATTTGATGTAATTGTTAGGTGAAATAATTTTAATTTCTAACTTGAACTATTAAAAAAATAACTTAATATCTTTATTCAGTTTTAATAAGTTAATTGATAGTATTTCTATTTTATTAATATTAATTTCAATATTACATATTTCATAGAATTCTTGTATTAGTTTGAGTATGTGAGTTATAATTTTTTTGGAGTTAAATATTCAGATTGTATTATCTATTAATACTAAGCTTGATATATTAATATTAATTTGATCTAATTGAAAGTAAGAAAAATAATAGTTGAATTATTAATATTATATCTATAAATATCTTTGATAGAGTTAATTATACATAATAATAAATTATAAAAAATATATCATAAAATTAGAGAGTGTATTTCTTCTTGATCAAGATCATCTCCTACTAAATATGATTCTGTAAGTTCATATTCTGTATATATTTAATTGAATCAATTTGTTTAAAGATTTTGTAATAGATTAATATAATTAGAATTTATTATTAGCTGAGTTTTAAAATTGGTTAATTAATAAAGTTATATACTTTATATATATCTTAAAAGATATATTAGAATTCTTTTTTATGTTCATAAATATCTTTTATTATATTATTAATAATGTGTAGTAGGCTATTTGTAGTAATATTTTTAAGTATTGAAAAGTTATTATCTTTTAGAATATTATATTTAGTATAAATACTTGAGATATAACTAGTAATAATTCTTATAAAAAGCTTCTAAGTTATATCAAGAAGAGTTATTGATCTTGTTATATCTAGATTTCTCTTCTAGTTTATTAGTTTGAATATAAGAATAATATTGATCTGTTTTTATTCATAAGATATGTCTTATTTTTCTAAATATTTATTGAAGAGTATAATAAGTATTATATAAATTATATTTTTATAGTATTATCAAAAAGCATTTTTAATAAAGTTATTTT